ACCTGTATTTTTATAAATAACAAGGAAGATCTGCCAACAAATTGTCTAATTTTTTTTTATAATTACACTTAAATCTTGACTGTTGTAGTGCTGAAACCAACATAGCCTATCAGGGTATCATAGGGCTGCTAAGTTAAATTTCTTCTTCCTTATGTGTAATGGTTTGGAATAATGGTATCACATAGGGTTCTTTTCCTTAATGCAGTTTTATTCAAAATCTTTTTGTCTCTTAATGTGTCATAAATGCTGCAGTCTGATGCACACTTTAAAATAGGTAGTTTAGCAAGGTGTTTCTGTCTGATTTATTAGTTTCTTTATAAGAATATGGAAGGTTTTCATGTGATCATTATAAACCTATGTTCTTTTCTAATCTTAGAAGTATTGAACATTGTTTGTAACAATTTTAAGTGGTATTATGCATACTTGTACATTACTTGTTTATCAGTCGATCCCTTCAATTCCTTATCAATGCATAAACTAAAGTTTGATATACTAGAACTCCTAGTGATATGAGATGCTAAAAATACCCTGCAGCATATAAGTGTACTAATGTAAAGTAATTAATTAAGTCTCGTAAAACGGGCCTTTATAGTTGTCAATGGGCAGGACATTAACTTGCTGGGAACCGCATGACACAGACATTCCACAACCAATACACAACCATGTGGAGTATTTAGATGGAACTCTGGTCACTCAACATGAGATCAAGGGACAAATTCTCTGTAGAACTTTATCTTAGATCCAAGTCCAATGACATGGGTCATTTGTAAGAGTGTAAGTATAAGATAACATGCTCTTTGATGTACTTGAAGATATTTAATCTCACTCAATGAAAAGGAAGGATGTTGCCTTATTTTTGGCCCTGCAGAATCCAGTGTATAGCAGAAGGCGTCTAAAGGAGTTTGTGATTTGAAGTGACAGAAGGTTAAACAGACAGATAAATGTAAACTGTATATATTTGAATGATGGGTGGTATGGTAGTATATGTTCTTCCGAGGATGACTCAGTACCTGTGAATTTCTTTCATTGGGGCGGATTGGTGGTAGGCACTTAATTAAAATGCAGATCAGGGGATTAATTCGGTGATCTCTGTGAGTCACCCTTATGTAAACACGAGAAGAAGACAGCACAGGTAAACATGATCTCAGTAGTATTAATTAGACGAGTGATTAAATGGTGCAAGTAATTATTTGATAAACGTAATAAAATGAGAGGTTTTTAATGCCCTTATTCTGTGACTTCACAGATGGAACTGTATGATTTGTCCTCTAACATGTTTAAAGTGAATAAATAAAGGGGGAAATTTGTCATATTAAATAACTATAAATGGATCCTAATTGAAGTATGTTTTTATGGATATGCAGTTTGTGATGTGACACTTTTGATATGTCCAATTGACAAGATGTATTTTGAATGTATAATTATACATGTATATATGCATGCAGATCTAAATTGAAATATGTTTTTTATGGTCATATATGCAGTTTGTGATATATAACACTTTTGATACATCCAATTAACAAGATGTATTAGTATTTTTTTAACTTAGAGGCAAATTTTTGTGTATTAAAAGTGTCTACTTGTGACCAGGATCTTGTTTAAAATGATTTTATGTATTTGATGATCATTATTTTTTATGAGTATCATCCAATGAAATGACTGAATCAGATAAATCTATGATAAACCTTAAGAGATAAAATTTGACACACGTTTTTCATGTAAAGATTTGATAAATCATAGATGTATTTCCTCACCCTGTCAGCTATATAATGTTTAGAATTGTAATCGCAACAGATAAGCCCAGGTCCCTTACATTGCCGCAGAGTCGACATTGCAGCTGAGCACAGAAACCATTGGATATAACATTGGTATTTCCTTGTAAATATAGATCGCATCCAGGTATAAACAGATTGGTTGTTGACTACCTGGAATTTACCTGTTTGTATACATGTATTGTGGATATTCATGGGTGTGTTAAAAACTCTTCAAGGACTGTTTTTGTAGAATTATATAAGATGGAGATATTTTAAGACATTGGATTGTCTGCATTTCTGTGTAAATTGTAAATGGAACAGTTTTTAAACCTAATGAATCTGTAGTGCATATATATTTAATACTAATTTATAGGTTCGTAGTATTTTGTTCTGTTAATATATGTGATAGAATCTCCTGATAATTTGATGTGATGTAGTGATAACTATTCTTAAGTACCCTAACTATGGCTTATGCAGCTGTTAATTCTAAACATATTAATGAAAGAATTATTTTTTTATGAAGTAGATTTTTCATTGACATTATATACATGTAGTGTGCAAGCCAGTCATCTGGGAATTGCAGTATTTAAAAAAAAAATACATGAGAATATGGCAGGAAAATTAGAGCAAAGAAAGACATGTTAACATAGTTATTAGTGCCATTTGCAGTTGTATTAATTAGTATCTCAAGTGGTCAAGAGTGTTATAAGGAAATGGTTTAGCAGGCAATTGATTTGGTTGAATGGGCTTAAAATTGTGATAATTCATGTACTTTACATGCAGTGTAATTTCACAAATATTTAGAATGTAATTTGGGAAAAATACATGTATTTATAAATGAAGCTACATATAAAAGGTCAACAACTTTGGTAGGCAATTTACTTAAACACTGTAACAGAACAAGTCCCTATATTTTTACGCATAAAGAAGGGATGAACATCATGATGAAAATAGCTTAGAAAAATGTAAAGGATGATGTGACATACGGCCCCCGGTAAATTGACAAAAAATTAAATATATAAATTTTACCCTTATTTTTGCATGCACTTAATCACTGACATGTTTACCCTCATAAAATACTACTTCTACCGAAAATAGAAACATAATTTGGAAGATATATGTCTTTATTTTGAGTAGGGGTACCATGTTTACATCCAATTCCCATTGAATTTTGGCCCCGCCCCACTCTTTGAAGCCCTTAAAATATACGAGCGCAAGTAGGTACATTTTTCTCCTATGGCTGGTCACTGTATTTTATTGAAATCTACCTATATGTGAAAGAAGAAAAATGTACCTAACTGCGCTCACATGTTGTTTTTAAAAAATTGTAAAATCTAGCCGGCCTCTCCCATTATGACCAGATCGTCGAAACCATTTTTTCTGACGTAAGAATAAATTCATATGCTAATCAAGGCTCTGGTGATACTTTCTAACTGACCAATCAGCTAAATGAGTTGCATTACTAATGAGTACCACAAAAATACTAAGGACATTTTATGCTTGGAAAAAAGGTTGTATTTTTTTACCTGCTTTCCGATAAACAATTTTTTATGCATTTGAGTCACAAATTAGACACGGATCTACACTTTCCCAGCTCACATTAACAAACAATTGATTTATAAATATACATAGTTCAAAGTTTGTAAAGCGTTTGATGGGCAATTCGCTAGGTCTACACGTATTCCCGAGAATCAGTGAATAGAAGTTTCATGTGCATTTCTTGACCAAAAATGGTAAACACTGAGGTTCCATGCGTATTATTTTGTTTTTGTATAACTAGTCTTGGCTGACCATTAAAAGTTTGAAATGTAGTAGAGATATTGTGTGAGTTGGCCTAAACCACGTGCCTGTGATGAAAAATAAACATGTAGTAAACCAGCATGTTTTGTCGTTCTGTCATCGGATTGGACAATTGTTCTCGGTAAGCGACTATGTGCGAAATAATAACAATAGCCATATAAGGTAGATTCCTCGGACATGCATATCCCTCTACTGTACTAAGACCCGCCTATTCTCTTTTCATAAAAGAACATATTGTCACAAACCAGGCCGAATTTTGCTGTCATAGGGTCTAAAAAATCATAGATAATGCAGTAATCCTTATAATTAAAAATGTGTCGGAACTATCTAAACTATTCAAAAGGCGTTGTATTTATTCACTCATGTTTGAAAACTATCAAAATCATTGTAGATTAAATATAATTCGTCGTAGAAAAAGGGGCCCCAGATAGCAGTTATGTCACATCATCCTTTGTTATATTTTACAATTATTTCCTCTTTGTAAGCTGTTGCTTTTTGTTCATTGAATGATTTGAATTGATTCAAATAGATTAATATAGAAATAGAAACATCTGTGAGAAAATTAATATTTCAGCTATGATAGTTTCCTTGATCTATTTACTAGTACATATGACTTTGACTTCATTTTTCCTTTTTGCATGTATTCATTATTGTATACAACAGAGGACCCCATTATATTTGTTTTAATTTTGCAGTACATGTATGTTAGGACTTGGATTAAAAGATGATTAATTTGAGTTTTTTGGTTACTTAAATTAATTTGAGTTTTTTGGTTACTTAGTTATACATAAATTGGAGCACTTGGTATTTTGCATAAACCTCATAAACTCAAATACATACACTGTTATTTCTTTTAAGTACATGTATATTAGAATTGTATGAATATTCTCTATGATAACATTGACTCAAGTCACTCAACCACCATACACTTATGGTCAATGTAATGCACTTATCGTTAATGTAATATATGTGCAATGTATGAGCTTATCTTCATTTTCAGATATAGATCTAAAAGTATTTTTATTGTCTTAATATCATTTAAAAATATTTAAACATATACTGGTACATGTACATATACTGATAAAATCAATTTCAAAAAAAAAAAATTCTAGTTATAATTTGATTCTGGGAAAGGGGGATGTGTATAGAAATTTTAAAAGTATTCATTTTGGATGCTGTACTGTCATTTAGACTCAAAGTGAGGACATATTGTATGTTTTAATCATTTCTGATAAAATCTTGAAATATTTCAGTCATGTAATTTACAATGTTATGCAACTTACACAGTAGTGCCCTATTAAAAAAAATCAGCATGCAGGACCAGGCAGGATATATCACACATTTATCTATGATTAGATATTACACACATTCCATTTTTTTTCCATCTTGTTAATCTATTCAATCTCACTGACCTAGTTTTCAATTCATTTCAGATAAAAATATACAAGACATGCTGAAGACGCCTAACATTAAATGATTACAGGAAGATGAAGTCATAATTTGAGATTTTAAAATTCCTCAAAAGTAATTCCTCCTTCCATTTAGGTAAGGGATTTCTTTATGTTAAGTAAACACGTATCAGGTTTCATTTACAGTTGGATAGATTTTTCACAAAAGTAATTTAACTGATCATTCAGCCATCACAGTGTTTTTTCCTTATAATAATAAACTTGCACCTGCTGTATAAAACGATGTCATGGATATTTATAAAAGAAGTTACTGTATTATAAGGAATTTTGTCAGTAAAGTAAGTGGGATTAAGATTTGAATTTCACTTACAATAATATTGTTAGATTGTTTAATCTCTTGATGTACTTCTGTCATATGATATCAAATGGACTGGTTTAAAGGGACAATATTATATTCCGCTGAGTATTGAACTTCCTCTTTTTCTAGATGGCTGGAGACGTGAAGAGGAAGGACAATGCCTGAGGAGACTCAGGGCCCCCACTTCCTTCCTGTGTTGGCAGTCTCGGGGGTTGGGCTGCTTCTCTCCATTTATATTCTAATTCTCTGTGTTTGTGGTAAAAAGTAAGTAATGACTTTTTGTTTGCAATTTCTTTGTAGAATAATTAAAAAAAATAAATTTATTAACTTAATACCAAGTCTAGCATTTATATAAAAACAATAAGAAAATGACTTTGTACAATGTATAAGAAGTGTATTTGTATGTTCTGTTCTGAACATGTATGTCTGCATGTATCTAAAATGATTTTGCTTGAGATTTTTACAGTTGGATATTTAACATTCAGTAATCTGTTTTGCTTAATATAAGTGTAAGTAGATAAACAGTATGTATATTATATAACATTTATGATGCTGTAACAATTTATATTGAAATATGATCATGTGGGCTTTGTAAATTCAGCTGCCAATAATAGATAAGAGATGGGGGGGGGGGGGGGAGTACAATAGACACTAGCTGAGTGTATTTTATTTAGTAAAGTATTATATAATTTTAAGTTCAACACAGATCGATATCTAACATTAGAGATATTTTGTAGTTTTATTAAAAAAATACAGTATTTTAATTTTTCATCATTTTAAAGTGTTTTTTAAATTGTAATATGTGCACCAATTGTAAAATTTAGATTTTTGAAGTACAATTTTGGACAATTATCAAATATGAAATAAGATAGAACATGACAAGAAAGATGTTTAAATATGAAATGTGTCTAGCTACCTGTATATACATGCTAAATAACCAAATTTGTACAAAAATCAATAGTTGAATTGAATATTTGTCATGTTTAAATTATGTATGTGGGTTTAGGTGTATATAAAATCATCAGCTGATCATAGAATATGACTGTTCCATCTGTACCTTAGTCATATTAGAGTTCATTAGGCATGTGTATTTCTTCTGGTCATCATTGATCAAACTAAATAAGTCGTTTGCCCTACTTTTTAAACATACATTTAGATACATGTATCTTAACACTAGATTTTTTCTTGAATCAAAAATAGTTTATTAAGGAAAAGAAATTTATTGTAGAATACTTTGAGACTAAGTTTTTTCAGAGTTAATAAAAAAAAAATATGACAGAGGAAAATTCAACTTTTTTTGAGAAATGAAAACAATTTGAAGAAAAATTTATTTCATCCTATCAACTTTTTATTTTAAAGTTTGCAAATTAAAAAAAAAGGATATTATATCTATTGTGCCAGATTTTTTTTTTTTTTGGTATCACGTTGAATAAAATTTTCATCTCTGATTTATGTATTGTACATGTATCTTTTGATGTAATTATACGTGACTTTTTTTTTATTTAAAAAAATATATATGTGATATTTCCTTTAAAATGAAATTCATCCTATAACTTACTAAATATTTGAGGTCTTGCATTTTAATTAATTTTAGTAAAGAAAAGAAGGAAGGAAATACAGAAGAGACAGCACAACTAAGAAATGGGACAGATTCACAGGTAGTATTTGTATATATTTATTGATTTTAACAGCTTTTAGATACTTATTTGCTAACAATGTTTTCTTTTTTCCATTTGGAATGAAAAAAATGCTTGTTTGTTTGATAAAATCTGAGGACACCAATCTAATTAAAATCAGATACTCCATGCCCTCCTTTGTTTTTTCTTGATGATCACTCCTTGTATGTACATGTAGCATCAATAGAAAAAAAGGGGGTGGATCAAGGAAATGATTTTAATCAGAATGCCTAGGATATGTAACTTTTAGATCATGTATGATATAAATTGCATATTTTGCAGGTGAATAGCATTGCAATAAATGTAGATGACAGTGTTACGGTTTTACAAGGTCCAACAGCTAATGGAAATAACAGGTACTTTCTGTCTTACATCATTTTGAAGAAATCTGTATTGGAAACTTTGTCTCTGAGTATCCAGCATTGGAACATTAGATATTTTTTACAAAAAGAAGTCTGTTAATTCTGGTGAAGAGAGAATCATAGAAAATGATAGATTCTAATTAGTACATGAACTATCATCTGATCCCGTAGTGTAGAAATCTAAAGTATATGTCATACAGTTGGAAATACCCATGCATCCCTGATTGGACCTAGATAACTAGTGTTCTTGGCCTTAAATAGACTGAACGTCTTCATCAAAGTTGTGAACAGTTTAATACTAACCAATTTAACAACACCAATAGTCCTCTAACCAATTTAACAAAACCAGTAGTCAAACTATTTTATATAACAACCCCACATGTTTTGTAACCAATTTATATAACAACCCCACTTGTCATCTAACCAATTTAACAAACCATTAGCCATACAGCCACTTTTAAGTTTTTCCCTATAGGCTACCTTGGTTTAGTTAAAGGATGTTACAGATTCAATAGAATATCAAATTTTGCAGCATATACATGTAATATGATTATAGAGAAATTGGATTCTGTTTTATGAAAAACATATATGAAAATATACAATGTGCCTGACATTGCCATTTAAGATGCTTACTAAGTTTTTTATGTCTGAAATATGAAATATCCCTGTATTTTCAAATGTAAATATGGATTTTTTTTTAAAAATCTGAGCTTTTTTTTGGTTGTTGGGTTGTTGTTGGGGGGGGGGGGGGGGGTTAAGGAATCTACAAAAACAAAACGTCTGAAGAAATAGATCTTTCAGAACATTATATTTTCCTTATATACATGACATTTCTAAAAGAGAAGAATCTCTTTAAACCTTTTTCTTTTAAATATAATTATAGATATAGTGGAGGAAGTCCTAAAGGTGGCTCCTCCCCTCACCCTCCAGGGACCAATCACAGAGAGCTGCCTCAGCCCCCTACCTCCAGTAGGAACACCATTGGAGGGAGGGCCAATCCATTCCAAGGTGATGCTAGAAATAAGAGAAACACAATAGGAGAGGCTGGACTGACAGAGGATCAGGATGATTATGACCACCTGATGCGACAAGGATTCCAGAAAAACAACCTGAGGAGGTCTAATTATGATCACATACAACTTGGGGAAGATGGTCAATTCCATGTTCAAGCTAGGAAGTCTGATGCTCCTGCAACAGAGGAAATGCCTGAGAATGACTATGCTGAAGTGGAGAGGGAGAATATCTATGAAGGTGTGAAAGACAAGCAGCCAGAAACAGAAACTAAGGTCCAGGCACCGGCTTCTTCACTGGTGAAGAAACCATATGATCCATATTCCAGTGTGAATGACGAGGAGGATGATTCTGGTGATCTGGAACCTGAAAAGAAACCATATGATCCATATTCAAAGTTGAAAGGTGATTCTAATTCTGGATCTTTTAAAAAGAAGACTGAGAATGAGGAAAATGTCAGAGCTAGCTCAAAGGTTAAAAAAAAGGAATATGATCCATACTCTAGTGTGAAGGATGGGGACTCAAATTCAGGCTCTTTTACTGCAAAACCTTATGATCCATATGCTCGTGTGAAAGATGACAAAGATGAATCTAGTGGAGGGACATTCAAGGACATAGATCCTTATTCTACTGTTAAAGAAGAGAGGACACCAAGGGGTAAGGGTAAAGATGACCCCTATACTAAGGTCAAGGATATGGCAAGAAATGACTCATCTGTTGATGATAATGAAGACCCGTATAATAAGGTTGTAGATGATCCTTACAATAAAGTGAAAGGTGATGATCCTTACAATAAAGTGAAAGGTGATGATCCTTATAACAAGGTAAAGGAGGATGATCCTTATAACACTGTCAAAGGTGATGATCCATACAACAAAGTGAAGGATGAAGAGCCAGAAGATCCTTATAATAGTGTTGATGAAGACGAAGGATCTCCTGAAGGTGCAGAAGGTCAGACTCATGATCGCCCTACATCTTATCAGTATTCCACAGTCAACAAAGTTAATCAAGAACTGAAAGGAGAAGGTTTTAGTGTGGTGGGGGAGTATGCACAGGTTATAAAGAACAAGGACTCTGAAGCTAATGCTAACAGACCCCTTCCCACCCCGGCAGCTAATCTTACTAACAGGGAGACAGACCCTTATCAGTTGCCTCCAGAACCACCCAGGCGGTACCAGGAGGATTACAGTGAAGAGGGAAGTCAGTCAGGGATGTCTCATTCTACAAATAATCACCCTACTGTTATGACAGGTGGGGCCACAGGTGGAGCCACAGGTGGCAATGAAGCAACTGCTGGTACCGTGGCTCCAGCAGCAACAAACAACTCAGGCAGCATAGCAACAGGTAATTAATAAACTACAATTTACAGTTTAATAAATTTAGGACAGTTGAATGGAGTTTTGAGAGAATTGAAAATTACAGTTTTTCAATAATTTTTCCCTTCTTTCAGACAATTAAGTTTCATTAGGGCCCCATATTGAAATGTGGAGCCCTATAGGGGTTACATTGGGCATCTGTCTGTCAAACTCAGATAATAGTTCAAAAATAAATACAAGTGATTTTTCCATACCACCTACCTGATGTGGTATATTTTGTTCTAAACATTAATGTATTAAAAAACTTTCCTATGACTCGGTTTTAAGTGAGGTCCTCTCGGACTGTGTTGTAGGAAAGTTAGACATTTTATCTCTCATCTATAATCCTGCTTACAGAACCTACAAAGCGTAAGGAGCCACCATACCACAAACTGACTGCCCGGGAGTCCATGGCTAGCATCAATGCCAGGCGGGCCCTCAACACTTATGAAGAGGTTCCTGATAAAGAGAATATGTATGCTACGGTATGTTGGGGAAAAAGTATGACATTATTTGTTATCTTGAATTTGAAAAAATTAAAAGTTTAGTGGTCCCTAAAAATAAGAAGGTTCATAAAGGGACTATTTTGACCCTGCACAATTTTTAAAAGGTCAAAACTGTTTAATTTGGCTACATAACTATCTTGAAATATTGAAAAATTTCCTTCCCAGGATTGTTGTTTAAACATCGGGTGTGCATGATTGTTTCCATTTCATCAAATTTTCAATTTTTTACATAGAGACCTGTTAGCTAATTGAAATGCTATACCAAGTTTTTCTTATGTCAACACTTTTATGTAATTTGTTTTAAAATTGATATTTGTTTATAACACCATTATCCCTTAATGAATTCTCGGGGGAAAAAATATTTGTATCATAAATAAATAAGGTCTCTTCTTTATCTTAGTGTAAAAGATTACATATTGGGGTAAGTTGACTGTTGATTATTTTGTAAATTGACAGACTGTTTTGTGCACAAAATAAACCTTGATCTTCATTATATAAAGGAAATATTTATCTTTATGTCAATATTTACTGTCATTTTATTACATAACTCCTTATTTAAAATGAGATGTGTTTGATAAACACTGATTGCCTCTTTATGAAAGTTAATGGACATGGTTAAAGTTTTTCAAAAGATCAAACTCCAATGTTAAAGTCATGAAGTAAAAAATGTTGAAACCCAAAGGAATGTCTCGTCACAAGGAATACACAAGTGAAATATGAAAACCTGAGCTCTATCTGTTCAAAAGTTATGGGCAAGGTTAAAGTTCTTCAAAAGTAGGTCAAACTAAAAGATCAAGGTCTAGAGGTAAAAAATAATATTTAAACAAAGGTCTTGTTTCAAGAAATAATGATTTATAACATGAAAGCCCTAGCCCAATCCAATCAAAAGTTATGGGTAATGTTAAATTTTTTTCAGCTGTAGGTCCAAGGTCAAGGTTATGAGGTCATAATGTTGATACCCAAGGAAATGTGTCATAGGGAATACACATGTGAAATATGAAAGTACTAACACCCAGCTGTTTAAAAGATATGGGCAAGGTTAAAATATTTTCAAAAATAGGTAAAACTCCAAGGTCTAGTTCACAAGGTCAAAAATGTTGGTACTCAAAGAGAGGTCTTGTCAAATTAAATAGACATTTGAAATATGAAAGCCCCAACACCAACCATTCAAAAGTTGTTGGCAAGGTTAACATTTTTCAAAAGTAGGTCAAATGCCAAGGTCAAGGTCACGAGGTCAAAAACTGTGGTACTCGAATAAAAGAAATTCACACATGAAATGTGAAAGCGCTAACACCAACCATTCAAATGGGCAAGTGTAAAGTTTTTGTGGACAAACAGACGGACAGCCCAGACCAAAATTATATGCCTCCATAACTTCAATTATTGGGGGGGGGGATTAAAGAAAACATGCATTTTGAGTGTTAAGGCCATGCAAAATATAATGCCTCAGCTGTAAACAAGTAAATAAATCAAAACATAGGTCAAAACATGGTGAAACAAAATTGGCATTATTATCCAGTGGGAAAAAATGTAAATATGTGTATAAACTTGAAGTATCATTTTTTGCTTTGCACTGTGTCATAATCACATGAGGTGTGCATTTAAATTTTCATATCCTTGTACATTCAATTTAGAATTGAGAAAATTTGATAGCAAACAAAATGCTGGCATTTTCCAAACTTTTGGCTTTTTTATGGAGTACCAGAGTATGTTTCGCTAAAATTATGTAATTTTTAAAAAAAAAAAAAAAGGTTTAGCCTTGTTAGGTCTAGTAAAAGTACTCATGATACCAGACATTTGTCTACATGTAGTAGGAAAACAATCATGAACTGGTAGACTTGGATCACACAATGCTTTACTGAATAAAAATGTTTGAAGCAGAATTTTAATTTCCAGTGAAGATTTTTTTATTTGACAAAAATGCTATAAAAAGAATCCAGTTTCTGCAGGAAGAAAGACAACTCTTAGTGCTTCCTCTATTTCAGGTGGAGGGAGGATCTGGGGATGGAGTAGTGACTTCCAGGGGTGCAGCACAGAACAGCCTAAGACCAATAAGACAGGAACTGTATGAAGAAATTCCTAGTAAGAAAAAAAAAACCTATCAGTTTTCGTATCAAATTTAGACAATGTACATATATAATCCCTGAAAAACAAGTTGGCTTATTTAATATATGTTAATTTAATCATAGACAAAACTTAAACGTTTATCTGTATATGTGTATTTAGTACAAGATGATATTACCTAGCATTAATTTTATTCAATATGCATAGACTCTCAAAATATAAAGATTTTTAGTTAAGAATACTCAAAAATGCTTCCATATGAATCAAAATATTATAGAAAAGTATACTAGTATTATTTGTACATGTATTCATGGTTCTTATGTTAATTGTAGATGGGGATCAGCTTCCAGCGCCTGCCCCTCCCTCCCTGGACACCCTTCACCTGATGACTGAGGGTAAATCTAGACTGTCGGGTGATACAGATGGCAGTAACCGTTCATCTTATTCAGAAAGCCAGAAATCACCAGGGGGTACCACCAGTCCTCGGTATTCCACAGGTTCCACAGAAGCTGTATCCACTGGCATGGTGAATCCAGCATTCGATGGCGACCCAGATTCCATGGGGATATCACTGGACCCAAATTATACAACAGTGAGGGACTGCATTCCTGATAGACAAGTGGAGGGTGATCCTAATTATGAGAGTGTGGAGGAGGTCAAATCTAAAGTACAAGAAGTGGAAGAGGAGAAACAGAGGCAGGCCATGAGGGAGCGCAAGAAACGTTTACATGTGTACGAGGAGGTGAGGGAAGGGGAGACAAATCCTGTGAAGGAGCGGGTGTTAAGGGGACACATGTATGAGGACTTGGATGGTGTCAAAACACAGAAACAACAGCTCAGTAAAAAAGAGGAGGATAGTAATGATTCTGATGTGTGGAAGAGAAGATCTGATGTATTCAGTGAAAAATTGTAACTGCCATGCTCTAAATCTTAACTCTTGTCTTTAAATATCAATGAAAATCAATTGTTTTTTGTACATTTTTTTGTTCAGTTGTGATATCCTTCGTAATGTCTTTTTACTTTGTACTGTTTTACAATTTTTATATTTTACTTTTGTTAAACATACAGTATGTGTAATTTCTGCATCATAATATAAAACAGCTGGTATCCAACTCAATTGATACACCAAGAATATTGTTTTCAAAGTATTCCTGATTTTTTTTTAAGTCTACTTACTTGTATCTTTTCTTGTTTTAATTTTAAAATTTTCTGGTGCAAAATAGAAATAATTGACTTTTATCACTACATGCAATATGATTTATCTGTAATAGGTCTTTCAGTAAAAATAACATACAGTGAAATTTGTTCACACTATAGGTTGACCGTGCATGGCAAGATGAATTTTTAATTGAAAAGTACCATCACCAAATTGAAGGGGTAGCAGTACTTATAAAAATTTAAGAATATATGACACTCAGAATTTGCTTCTGGTTTAAATAAACCAGTATTAAAAACTTTGAATTCTCTGGTGCAAATTTATATATAGTCATATATCAATAATTTTGAGGAAGGACTACTTAAAGATACATACCGGGTACTTCATTTCAAAAGAAAAATGAGCATTTCAGTTGTATCATCTTAGGAAATTAAAAATTAGAATATCATGATTTTAACACAAAACAACATTTTAATATTATTTACTTATATCTTTAACAATGATTTTTCAAAATTAAGAATCATCTGATTGAGCTCATCTTCAGTTTACTTTGTATGATAGAGACATACTTTATGTTATGCATGAAATATATTTCCTACAAAGAGACCAAAGACTTTAACCCATTCTGAAAACACATACATGTATACATATATATATCGTTACTTTGTTTTCATTATTTGTTAAAAATTCTTGTTACTTTCATATTTTGAGACATTACATTATTTCAGGAAAAATCATTTTAGGAAAAAAAAATTGTCAAACATAAAATATCATATGATGGATAAATGTTCTTAAACTTGTTGAAATCCAAGTGCACATGTACTGATTGAATTAGATTGTATTAATTCAATGCTACAAATAACTATTTGACTGATGTTACATGTATTTAGTTATACCTATGTATTCCAGTATTTGCACATATTTGTAATTTCCTGACTAGTGATCCAGTTGCTTAAATAATTATTGAAGTAAGTATTATAAAAAAAATATATTAAGTAATCTTAAAAAAATTATGTTTCACATATCATAAATTAGACTTTACCCCATGAATTATCATTCAGACAGGTATAAATTTAATAAAAGAAAATCAGTTTATTCTTGGTATATATACAATGTATATATTATCCAAATTTATACATTTTGAATTGTTAACTTGTATGCCTTGGCTATGGATATTCTGCTAAATTAATTTTCCTCATTTAATCCCCCCCACCCCACCCCAGATTGCATTGGTCAGTGATTAAGGGTTATTTATTTTAACAAACAATACATTTTACTTTGTAAAAACCTTCATAAGCCCTGGGTAATTTTATTTTTCATATTTACAACTTGTAGTAAAAATTTAGTTGTAGAATTGCCCTTCTTAAACATCAGCTTTTTATAATTCAAAAGACTTATTTATTCAGAACTACTATCGCAAAATAGGACTTACGTGTTGTGAAGTACAGTGTAAAAACATGAAATAAAATTCAAAATATATTATGTGTATATTGTTCGTTATTTAAACATAAAGTGTAAGATTCACAGACTCAAATCTTTATTATTATTTTATTTTGATTTTTTTTTTTTTTTTTTTTTTAGATGTTTCTGATAAGGTAGTTTTGTAGGTCATTTGAGCCACTCGAGTTACCTTTGACCATCTGCTTTGTCTGTCATCATACATTACATTGTAGTTTTAAACTTTTGATAATTTCAGTTTCATCTCTGGAACAGTGAACCAATTTAAAGCAATTTTGATATCTATTGGTACATGTGTGAACGAAAATTGTGAATTTCATGGTCTTTGTGCCCATGGTACCTGAAGGGTAATATATTTTCCAGTATTCCTCTTCTTTACTCTTGGACATTAAGCAGTCAAACTGCTGGTATGATTATTTAAAAAAAGTAATGAGTCCTTTACAAAAGTCTGAAATTTATGACCCCTGTGGTCAGACTCCAAGGTAGAGTTAAGTTGTTCTTTGAACATGCATTATAGCTTAACTTTTTTTTCTTACGGACACCAAGCAGGCAAACTGTTTTGCATGATCAAAATACTCAAACTTTTACCAAAACTATAATCTTCAGTCATGGATATCTAGCTATCTGTGTACATGATCAAATAGAGGAATCATTTTACACTGTATTTTATACTTTTAAATTGTTCGGTATTTTTTCACTTAAGAATTAATTCTGAACGCGAAGACTGCAATGGTTTCATTGATACTTAGTGGACAGCAAAAACAATGGATAATCTTTAGAACAAGATATGCTGCACAAATAACCATATGTTTGTTTGCTCTAATCCGACGAACATTCATTATTAATTACAAAACTAGATGCTGTCATAAGATGGTAATACCCGTACGTACGTAAGTGTTTGCCTCGAAATGTATGCTAGCTAACTTGTACCTGCAGAGCAGCGAAGAAGCCATAAAAGTTATTTAATAATTTACATAAAACGTGTTTACAGGTGTCAAAATGAGAATAAAATGCACATGTGAGCATATGTTTTCATATTTGGGTAACCAGGGAAAAAACATTCTATTTACGCAAAATATAAAATTTATGTCATTAAAAGGCAATATGGGTAAAATAATATGAATTGTAAATGGTTATATATCTATCGCTTGAAAAGGGTCAAAGATTATTGGATGCTATGTGCAATCACTTAGAAGGCCAATCCTATATTTGACCAAGTCCTTGGAGTCATCCCCACTTTTTGGAACTGGAAGTAATCAAATAGTTTTAATTAAAATTGAAAGCTCCTAAACCATATTATGACGCATTCAATGCTATATGGTCATGAATCTACCAAAGGTCATCCCTACCCTCTGAAACTGGAAATAATTATATATCATATAAAAGCATCATTTTTTTTTTTGCCCCCCCCCCCCCCAATTTGCTCCTCGGGTGAAAATGAAAATTACAAAACCTTATTGAGCATCTTTAGGACAACACCAAGCATATTCCAAAATTTGATTTGGCTACTGCAAAAAATATAAGAGGACTTCAGGGATTCAGGTTTTTGTAGAAAAACATCTTTTTTTAACCCCCCCCCCCATTTGAACAAAGAAATTCCAAACCTCGTTGTAAATCTACAAGACACTCCCAGATGTTGAATGGGCTACTGGGAAAAATATTAGAGGAGTTCAAGGAACCAGGATTTTGTAGAAAAACGTCGTTTTTAACCCCCAATCGCCCCTTATATATGCTAGGGTGAAAATTGAAATTCCAAAACCTTAGTGCACATCTACAGGACACTCCTGATTATTTCAAAAGATTAAAGAGCTACTGCGGTAAATGTAAGAGGAGTTTATGGAACCAGGTATTGTAGAGAAACATCGTTTTTTGACGCCCAATTCTCCTCTAAGGTGAAAATCGAAATTCAAAAACCTTATTGTACATTTACAGGACACTCCCAATCATATTCCAGAATATGAATGGGTAACTGCGAAAATTGTAAGGGAAGTTCAGGGAACCAGGTTTTTGTAGAAAGACATCATTTTTGATTCCGTTTAGCCCCTAGGGTGAAAATGAAAATTTCACAATCTTTTTGTCCATGCACTGGGCACCATCAATCGTATTTCAAAAGATGAGTTGGCTACTGCTTAGAATGCAGGAGAAGTTTAAGGAAGAAGATAGTGTGACAGACGACGGACGGAACAGGATAACAACAATATAGCCGTATTTTCTCTAGAAAGTGTGGGTACAAAAATGTTCGTTTTTCGACCCCCATTCGACACCTACACTTGTAGGTGGAAATGAGAATTCCAAAATATTGTTGTACATCATGATCTGCAGGACACCCTAATTTATCTTGCAAAAGGTGAAATGGCTATAGTGCGTAAAATGTAACAGAACTTTTGGGAACCAGGTTTTTGCCGGTAAAATAAAAAGTAGTTTTTGACCCCCATTTGGCCCTTGGGGTGAAAATGAAAATTCTGAAACCCTTTGCACATCTACAGAACAACCCAAATAATCTTGCAAAAGATAAGAGGGCTACTGTGTAAGATGTATGAGGAGTTCTGAGAAGCAGGTTTTTGTCATTAAAATAAAAAAAGTTCATTTTTCGACCCCCATGTAAACCTCGTGGTGAAAATGAAAATTCCGAAACATTATTGCTCATCTGTAGGACACCCCAATCATCTTTCAAAAGATTAAATCGCTACTGTGTAAAATGTATGAGAAGTTTTGGAAATGAGGTTTTTGTAAAATAAAAAAAGATACTGTTTTTTTTTTTTTTACCACAATTTGTCCCCAGCGTGAAAATGAAAATTCCGAAATATTATTGAATAACTACAGGGCACACCACCAGTTACCTTCCAAAAGATGACTTGGCTACTGGGTAAAATGCATGAGGAGTTCTGAGAACCAGATTTCTGTAAGAAAGTCGATTTTGAACCCACATTTGACTCCCAGGGTGAAATTGAAAATTCGGAAACTTTATTGCACATCTACTGGACATCACCAATCATCTTCTTCCAAAAAATGATTTGACTACTGCATAAAATGTAAGTTTCGGGAACAGGTTTTTGTAGGAAAAAACATTGTTTTTCGACTACCATTTTGCCCCAGGATGAAAATGAAAACTCTGAAACCTTATTACAAATCTACAGGACACTTACTATCACAGTCCACAAGATGAATTGGTTACTGCTTAAAAATTGTAAGAGGAGTTTGAGGAAGAAGAGAGTTTGACAGACGGACGGTTGGAATAGGATAACAACAATATACCCGAACTTAAAAAGTGCGGGTATAAAAACGATGACAATTCAATTACTATTTATATGGTACGAAAGCCTAGAAGGGTCAAATAAGGAAAATGAAAAAAATAATAAAAGTCGTTATTACGACTTTCTTAAGTCGTAATAACGACTTTTTATCTCGTTATTACGACTTTCTTAAGTCGTAATAACGACTTTTTAACTCATTATTACGACTTAATAAAGTCGTAATAACAACTTTTTATCTCGTAATAACGACGTCGACTTTTTTCTTGTAATTACGTTTTTCTTTTGTCGTAATAACGACTTTTTATCTCGTTATTACGACTTCTTAGCTCACCTGAGCTGAAAGCTCAAGTGAGCTTTTCTGATCACCCGTTGTCCGTCGTCCGTCCGTCCGTCTAGCTGTCCGTCCGTCTGTAAACTTTTCATATTTTCAACTTCTTCTCAAGAACCACTGGGCCAATTTTAACCAAACTTGGTACAAAGTATCCTTGGGTAAAGGGGAGTTTAAATTGTTGAAATAAAGGGCCAAGTCCCCTTACAAGGGGAGATAATCAAGAAATGACAAAAATAGGGTGGGGTCATTAAAAAATCTTCTTCTCAAGAACCACTGGGCCAGAAAAGCTAAAACTTATGTGGAAGCATCCTGGGATAGTGTAGATTCTAAATTGTTCAAATCATGACCCCCGGGGGTAGGGCGGAGCCACAATAGGGAAACCAGGTTTTACATTGAAATATATAGGAAAAATCTTTAAAAATCTTCTTCTGAAGAACCACTCGACCAAAAAAGCTGAAACTTATGTGGAAGCATCGTAAGGTAGTGTAGATTCTAAATTGTTCAAATCATGACCCCGGGGGTAGGGCGGGGCCACAATAGGGAATCCAAGTTTTACATTGAAATAAATAGGAAATTCTTCTCAAGAACCACTGGGCCAGAAAAGATGAAATTTATGTGGAAGCATCCTAGGATAGTGTAGATTCTAAATTATTCAAATCATGACCCCCGGGGCCACAATAGGGAATCCAAGTTTTACATTGAAATATGTAAGAAAAATCTTTAAAAATCTTCTTCTCAAGAACAACTGGGACAGAAAAACTGAAAACTTATGTGGAAGCATCCTGGGGTAGTGTAGATTCTAAATTGTTAAAATCATGACCCCCGGGGGTAGGGCGGGGCCACAATAAGTATTACTTTAGGGAAATTGGTAAAGAACAGCAAGGCCAAAGTTACTCAGGTGAGCGATGTGGCCCATGGGCCTCTTGTTTATTTTTCGTTTTTCCTAATTTGACCTTTCCATATTACGGAAACGTATAACCGCCTCATGTCGTTGTGTTTTACCTCAAAATGACAAAATAAAATCAGAGTCATCTGCCAGTAAACTGTATATAACGTCATAATTTTGTCGAGTTGTACAAGGAGATCAAAAATTTGCGATAATCGTTTGATGATTTAACTGCCCTGTTAAAGTTTTTTGACTTTGACCAAAGTATGATAATTTGTTGCAATGTTGTTGCAATTAAAAAATGTGTAGCAATATTCTCCCAGTTTTATATAATTAGAATAAATAATGTCGATTTGGTTCCATTTATTAGGCTTTCACGTCGATATTTTGACAGTTCTTGTCTGTTAACGTACGTTTGTCATCCTAAGTTCGAAGAACAATTTAACTGTATTGAAAAAAAATAATCATAACTGAAATTGATCTCTCTTTTTATGCGCACCACTCGTATCAACTGTGAGGCAATTAAAAAATGAACCGAAAACTCAAACGATTCAATACTTTATATTCTATTGACAAATCTATGTCAATTTTACTTGGAA